TTTTTTTAACTAAATATTTGGCTTTGTAATGCTCTAAACACATTTCTTAGAGAAAAAACACTTGTGAAGCAGCTAAAGCACAGTTTGATTACTATGGGGTAATGAGCAAACAGTGATTTCAGGTCTAAATTAGTCTCTAAGAGACAGATTGTCGGATGGGATTCAGACTGTGAGACGACTGGGCCTCAGCACTGTATACAAACACGAGCCAGACTTTTTAATTGGCTCCTTTCTGGTGAGCAGCCAATCAGGACAAATTTAGACTGGCCCTTGGCAAAATGGAGAAAATCCTAGTCTAAATATCACTGAGGTCTAAAAGACATGTGGCCTCGTTTAAATGTCCTTTCCTCTGTCCGGACTACTTTCATTATTAGGCCCTTTATTTCTGTTTAAACCAGCACCTTCTCATTTTTTGTTTCGCATCTCTTGTATAACAGCACATGTTGTTGTTGTTTTTTTGTTCAAATCATGCTTAATCATGGGTTGTGAATTAATGATTTTTAATTGAACTTTAGAAGCAAGATTACCCCAGCTTTTTACTCATTAGTTACAAACCAGAATGTTATGGTTATATGGTTAGATTCACATGCTTAGGACAGTCAAATAAACACTGCATTGTGTGTAACATTCAGCATTCGAGGGAAATGTTTAAATGATGATGGAAAACATGAGTAACACTTTATTTTGATGGTCCATTTGAGTATTAGTAGACTGTCTGCATAATATCTGCTGATACTGCTCTTTTAACAGACATTTAACTGACTATAAGAAACTTTGGAAGTACATATCTACATACACTAACCCTAACCCCAATCTAACAATCTATTTATAATCTAATGAGAATTAGTTGGCATGTAGATGCAACGTAACAAACGGACCATCAAAATAAAGTGTGACAAAAACATGTTAATGGTGCAAAGAGACTGTTCTGTTCTTACTTTCTTTTTGAAAAAATGCTTGGTTTTGCTTACATGTTTGGAAGCTCCACCCACAATGCAATATCGTTAGTCAAAAATCCACTGTTTAAACGTCTGAGCAGTGAAGTTGCCCGCAGCTGACAAATTTCTGGTCCAGTGTTTTTTGATACAATAAATGATGCTATTATTTAGACCAAGAGTGTCCAAACTCGATCCTGGAGGGCCGATGTCCTGCAGAATTTAGCTTCAACTTGCCAAAAGACACCTGCAATGATGTTTCTAGAAAGCCTAGTAAGAGCTTGATTAGCTAGCCCAGGTGTGTTTGGTTAGGGTTGGAGCTAAACTATCCAAGACAGCGGCCCTCCAGGACTGAGTTTGGGCATCCCTGATCTAGAAAGAGTTGACTTGACTGTTGCATCTTGCCAGGTTATTGCTTTTTCTACTAGACGAGCCATTCTTCTCAAATGGAAACAGGTCACTCCTCCATCCCATGACATGTGGATCCGATAAGTCTTAAGCTGGATAAAACCAAAGTCCCTTTTAAGGCAAGTAATTTCACTCGGTGGCTACTGGAAAGTATACATATGGACTTAAAGGGAACTTATTTACTCTTTTATTTGTAAACTTATATTTTTTTTATTTTTTCAGAGGATATGTTAGTTTTTAATTAATACATTTAATTTAGTTTTATTTTATTTTGAGGGGATAGTGGGATCATGAGAAAACTAAGACGGTCAGTACTTTTTCTTATTCAGTTTTATATACTACTATGTATGGTTTTGTAAAACATTAAAAAAAAATAAAAAAAAAAAATAAATAAAAGTCTGAGCATGGTATTATTAGTATTATTATTATTATTATTATTATTATTATTATTAATTTGTCAACAAGTAATGCTTTTATTCACAAAATTTTGATCAACTAAATTCACAGTGACGGTGAAGATATTTATTTGTTCTCAATAGTTTTAATTAATACATTTTTAAATAAAAGCTCATTTGAATTCAACGAATTTTTTTTTTAAATAACAATAATCATATACGTTTATATCGCATCGAATTAGCCTGTTTTAATGGATTCTGGAGGATCATGTAATGCTGAAGAATAAAGTATAGATGAAAATCTACTTTTACAAAACAGTAATAAATAACATGTAAAAGGAGAGTTTACCAAAAAAATTTAAATTCTATTATCATTTACATATTTGAGTTTCTTTCCTCTGTTCACTACAAAAGAAGATATTTTGAAGTATGTTGGAAACTTGTAACTTTCGACTTTCATAGTGTTTGTTTTTCCTACTATAGAAGTCAGTGGTTACCGGGTTTTCAAATTCTTCAGAATATCTTCTATGTCTTGTTTTTTTGTTTTCTTCTTTTAAAAGAAAATTCACAAAAGGATTGGAACAACATGAGGGTGAGTACATTTTCATTTTTTGCTGAACTATACATAGAATATATAAAAATAGGACATTGTTATTTAGTAAATTGATGTTTCCCAATATTAGTTATTTTTCTTTACATAATTGCAGTATTATAAAAAGATAATAGACCAATCACAAACTATTCACCTTATTCTCCGCATAAGAGTAGGCGCAGACATGTTCATCTTTTTGGCTAGAGACTTCCAGTCTCATTCACTTCCATTCATTTTTAGAAGTAAAAAACCGCTTGTTATACGGCTTGATGTTGCAAACTGATATTTTCTTATTGCATTAATCTACTTTGTCCGCGTAGTCATGCAAACACTTGTTTGTAGAGCAATTCACAAGTTCACACTCACAGATATTTGACTTAATAAAATATGAGTATTTGGCGTGCTGTCCAGAGAGAGGGCACTGAGCTCGGGAAGACACCCTAACTTGTGTTAATCCCCTTATCAGGATAGAGAGATATAGGGTCCGAGTGCAGTGTCTAGCCCAGCTTCAGAATGCTCCCTCCTCAGATTTAAATAGGTATCGGGTTTAATAGTGTGGAGTTGGGGTGGTGGATGGATGCTGAAGTCGAGAGAAAACAGAGGTATGATGTGTTTGACTATTCATAGTCTTTTTAAGGTCTTGAGCTTATTGGATAAAAGATTGGTTGTCTGTGATGAACTAGCCTTGTCAAAGATTGATTGTGCTCCTCCTGAAACTTGTTTATAAAACACCATGTAGTTTGACCGTTTTCCGCTGTTTATCGTTCCTAGTCATTTCTCAAATAGGCAACTGAATCAGAAGTTCTAAAACAAAATCGCAAAACTGAGCACACTTCCACATTGAATAAAGTATGCTTTAATATGTTAACATTTTAAATTAATATGACTGTGACACCTAAACTGGCACACGGTCACTTTAGCTCTCAAAAGACAACTTAATTAGACAACGTTTCAACCTGCAAGCTCTTTATCAGGTCACACAATCTGGGTGTTATTCTGGATGGTGGCTTTAGCTTTGACAAACAAAAATGCAGTGGTCAAATCCTGCTTCTTTCAGCTTCGACTTGAAAAACTGTCAAAAAATCTAGAAAAAGTTTTGAAAAAAATAATCCATAAATAGACCACTAGATTGTACTATTGTAACTCATTATACTTTGGGATTAGTCAGAAAACCTTATCCCGGTTTCAATTAGTTTAAAAGGCTGCTGCAAGGCTACTTTAACAGGTACCAAGAAACACGAGCACATTACACCAGTTTTACGCTCTTTGCACTGGCTGCCTATGCACTATAGAGTCACTTTTAAAATGCTTCACTGGGTTTTTAAATCCCTAAATGGCCTGGCACCTTCTTATCTGTCAGACATGTTAATTGAGCATCAGCCTGGTCGGTCTCTTCGGTCATCTAACCAGAGACTGTTATGTATCCTGAAGTCTAGGTTGAAATGCAGAGGTGACTGTGCCTTTGCAGTAGCTGGTCCTAGGTTGTGGAATGATCTGTCCCTCTGTATCAGATCTGTTTCGTCCCTGTCTGTTTTTAAATCTAGGTTGAAAACTTACCTCTTTGATTTGGCATTTTATCAGTGAACATTGTATGTTTTTAGCTATAATTTTATAACTTTATAAATATATTTGTTTTTTCTCTGTTTTGATTTGTACTGTGCAGCACGTTGGTCAACCTCTGGTTGTGTTAAATAATGCTATATTAGCATTATAACAAATTAGCTCAGTGGTTAAAAATAGTTATTATCAGCTGAGGATCATCTCCAGACTCAAATCCATTCTTTCCTTTCAAGATCTGGAAAAGGTCATACATGCTTTTATCACGTCCCACCTAGACTATTGCAATTCTTTATATGTTGGTCTCCCCCAATCCTGATTGGCACGGTTGCAGTTGGTTCAAAATGCGGCAGCTAAACTTTTAACAGGCACCAAAAAACATGCTCATATCTCACCAGTTTTAGCATCCCTTCATTGGCTTCCTGTTAATTTTAGAATTCAGTTCAAGATTTTACTTATTGTTTTTAAAGCACTGAATGGGCAAGCACCTTCTTATATATCAGAGCTTTTTAACTTACAGTCAACTCTTCGGTCTCTTAGGTCCTCAAATAAAATTTTGCTTCAAATTCCTCGGTCACGACTTAAATTGAAAAGGGAAAGAGCCTTTGCAGTCGCTGCTCCTCGTTTGTGGAACCAGCTACCACCGGATATTACAAGTGCTTCTTCTCTCTCTATTTTTAAGTCCAGACTTAAGACACATTTTTATTCTATTGCATTCTCAGGCTTTTAATCTTTATTGTGGTTGTTGCTGTAATACTTTTATTCCTATTATTACTTTTATTGTTATCTTTTACTCTTTTAGAGTGTGTGCTATGGTTTTGTTCAGCACTTTGGTCAGAGCCAAACTGAAGAAAATGTGCTTTAAAAATAAACTTTACTTACTTACTTACTATATGAAACAAATTGACATTGACATTGACATTGATGCAGGAAACACAAGAGAACCCCAAATATAGTCAAACTCTAGCCATCACACCTGCAAACAATGATCACCCAATAAAAGATTTTCTTAGACGCGCACACACTGAAGTCTTTTTACACTTTAGAGTGGACAATGTTAGACAGATTATGATAACATGTAACTGTGATAAAGGCAAAATTTAAAGTGCTGACCTCGGTATGACTTGGCACATAGGTCTTGATTGTCATAGACTCTCCAGAGAAGCTTCTTGGATGGTGGTCTTGCAGTTGTTGACACATTACCACTGTTGAGGAGTAATTTAGGAGAGGCCAAGTGCGTTTCAAGCGTCTCCAAGAACTTGCTGCAGCTCCAGGTCCAGCGCACCCGTGGAGGCTCGTAGTCGCAGCGAAACACACCGAGCGGTGACCTGTCACCAAATGTGCTGACGTTGCCCACAGTGATGCCCAGGCAGAGGGATGAGCCGATGTTGAAGAGCCGACTCCTGGTCACCCATTTCCATAGCTGGGCTTCACCCTTACAGGATGACGACAGGTGGAGCACGTGGTCTCGGACCCCCAAACAGCCCTGTGCACCCTCGTGGAAAAACGCAAATGTGTCTGATCCATCTGTATGTGCTGAAAAAAAGAGAGAGAGTTAATAATATAATTTCAATATTAATAATTTCAATAATAGAAATTACAATATTAAAAACAAAGATGTTTTATACAATAGTACAAAGAAAATCTGATAACTCAGAAAATGTAATTATGAACTGATCACTAAGGAGAGAGTGTTGAATAAATAACTTGATTCATTAATTTTCCTTTGGCTGAGTACCTTTAATAATCAAGGGTCGTCACAGTGGAATGAACCGCCAACTTATCCAGCATATGTTTTATGCAGCGAATGCCCTTCCAGATGCAACCCAACACTGGGAAACACCCATACACTCTCGTTCACACACATACACTACAGATAATTTAGCTTAATTAATTCACCCAAAGTACATGTCTTTGGACTGTAGGGGAAACCAGAGCACATGGAAGAAACCCACTGGAAGAACATGAAAACTCCACACAGAAATGACATAGCCAGGGCTCGAGACAGTGACCCTCTTGCTGTGAGGTGACAGTGCTACCCACTGAGCCACCGTGTCGCCTGAGTATGTAAAAAAACTATTTATTTTTTTGTATTGCACCTGTCAATTTTGAGATTTAAGTGGTGTTTTTAGGTGTTTTTTGTATGTAATGCAAAGAAAACATCCAAAATACCTTTGAGATTGCTTCTTTTGTTGACATTGTTGATCATTTGCTGATTTTATTCATGCAGTTTTATTAAAATCAGCTTTCTGAAGTTTTTTTTTTTCTTTAAGTAATTTGTTCATAGGTTTGTCTGACTTCATACATTTTATTTTATAAAACAGCTGAAAATGTACTTTTTACTCTGGCGTTTTGCAGAATAAAAAAAACAAATCTGAAGTGATAAAAAGAAATACAAAAATAAAACCCCTAAAATTGTAATGAGACTTCATCAACTTATTGTCTCAAAAACTAAAGAGATGCTTATTGATTTTCACTGTAGCTCTATTTTATTGCTACTATATGAAACAAAATCAGTTCCAAAAATATTGAAATAAAAAGCCTGTTGAATAACACTAACTGGAAAAAATAATACATGGAATGTATTGCATTTTAGTGACTTGAATTACCGAGGTTTGTAATTTTAGGTCCTGAAATGTAGCATAGCTGTTTATTTGAGCTGTGAATATTTCAATTTAAAAGACTACTACTAGTATAAACAGTTTTGCTGTTGAGACAGTGAGTGAGTATAAATACCTGGGCACCATCCTGGATGATAAACTGAACTTTGAGGCCAACACAAATTTTATTTGTAAAAAGGCGAATCAACAATTGTTCTATTTGAGAAAGTTGAAAAGATTTAATGGGGATAGGCCTTCTTTTATTGAGTCTCTTTTAACTTTTGCAGTAATATGCTATGCTAATTTGAAAGTGACAAGTAAAAACAGACTTACAAAATTCATCACCTATCTCAAATCTTAACAACACTGGGCATGTGTATGAGGTAAGAGTCATACAGAGGGCTATGTCCATTTTAGCAGATGACAACCATTTGTTCTAAGTTTTGTCTCCTGCCATCAGGCAGAAGGTTTACTTATTTCAGATGGGCTATATAGGTCCAACAGATATTTGCCTTCATTTGTTCCAACTGCAACTGAGTTAAAAAAACAAGCTTTAAGTTGAATTTGCTCTTTTTTTAGGAATATTTTACATGATCAAGATTACTTGTATTGTTTACTGTTATTTATGTTTGTTTGGGTGTTGATGGGCTATTGCTGTCAACCAAATTCCCTCAGGGACAATAAGGACATTCCAATCCAATATAATCCAATCATCAATTAGCTTCATCCTAATTTTTTGTGCTAAAAAATACAACATGAATTAAAAACTTTCATTTGCAATTTCCACTTAAACATACAATTCAAAAGCTTTTGTGATTCATAACAAATCAATCAACTAAGAAAGTATGGTGAGAACAATTAAAATCCTATTGTCTTGCCTTTGATGCCAAGCACAGACATTCAGACTGTTTTAATGATTTTACCCACCATTAAACTGAAAGACGGATCCAATTTCCATCAAACCTTTAATGTCATGTGACCAAAACTGTTTTTGCCTGACAGCTATTATCCTAGTATATTATTACAGCAGTAAGAAAAGCAAAAGCCCACTGATTCTCTTTTACCCACTCACATGTTTAACAAAAACAAATCGTTCACTGCCAATGCAAGCAAAGCACAAATCCTGCACAAACACTCCAACAGAATGTTTCTATCACGGGCGTTGAATTTGCTTGTTAAATGCTGATTTAATTACAGGTGAAAAGTAATTGTCTGAGAGAAAAATTGGCCGTTTCTGATTATATTCAATGTGTGTGTGTGTGTGTGTGTGTGTGTGGCTTCTGTGCAAGCTTTGCTTCTGGAACACATCACAATGTCTGACTGCAAATAGATAGTAATTTACAAAAACAAAGCAAAACAAATCAAAAAACAAAATCCCAACAGACACTGCCCTGAAAGAATGCAGACATTGGCAACATTCCTCTTTTGTATGAGCGTACACAAACAAGAGGTGGTAAACTTCATTATAACCATAAAACAATATAATCATTCATTCATTTATTTTTTTTCAGCTTAGTCCCTTATTTATCAGGGGTCACCAGTGAAATTAAGTGCCAACTATTTCAGCACATACGTAGTGGATGCCCTTCCAGCCGTAACCAACTACTTGAAAACACCCAAACACACTCTCATTCACAAACACGCTCATACACAACGGCCAATTTAGTTTATTCAATTCACCTATAGCGCATGTCTTTGGATTGAGGGGGAAACCGGAGCACCCAGAGGATAACCACGCCAACATGGGGAGAACATGCAAACTCCACACAGAAATGCCAACTGAGCCAGCCGGGCCTCGAGCCAGGTCTTGCTGTGAGTGCTAACCATTGAGCAGCCTCACCATTATTATAATCATAGGAATTAATTGAAATATTTCAAGAAATGAAATGATTCATCAATTATGAAGAAACGGATGTGGTTCTTTGATGAATAGAAAATGCAGAACAACATTTATTTGAAAGAATTAGAAATCATATATTCTAAAAACAGAAATCAAGATTAGAAATGTATTTACTACCATCTTTCATCAACTGATTATACTCTTGCTGAAAAAAAGCATTCATTACTTTCAAAAGACATTTAAGTTAGAATCATAGCAGCAGTAAATGTATATTCATTGCAAAATCAACAGCACTTACAAACAAAAACTAACTAAAACAAACAAACAAAAAAAATACCATTAGAATACAAAGATTTAAACTAAATCCAAAATATAATTTGTCTATCACTTATCAAAGTGTGTTTTTAACATTAAATTATTACATTATATACTGTAATGCTAGAGTAACAAAAAAATTATGCTTGAAAACTGATGATATTTACACAATGTAAAAAAGACACTTCAGCAACAAAAAAAAAATCTATAGTGAAACTAAGATAAGATTATTATTATTTTTTTTTAAGTAAAGCCCTGCTCACATTGTGAGAATTCAACCACGATTTAGTCATCCGAGACAAATTTGGAAAATCCTAAAAGTTTCCTGAAATCCTAGGCTAAAATTGATGATCTTTGATCGTGGATTTGATGTGTTCACGGACAGCCGCTTAGTGCCTTTTGCAATCAGATTTTTCCTCCGATGAAGTTTTGGCAGTGTCAGAAGATTTCAGACACTTTGTGACAACAGCTGTGATGAATCCAAGAACCAATAGGAGCACCGAATTTTATGACGCAATCCATGAGACAATTCAAATGATAGCAGGGAAATGTCAAAACAGATTTTTCTTCTTGGTATTATTATTGAAACATGTCTTATGCAAAATTGCCGCAACAGATTGTTTGCGTTTGCTGTAAAGAATTATTTCTGAACGCGGCATAGTGAAAGTACCACGGTTGGATGACGTCACACTCCGGGGAAAAACTGTTTGGCGCATCTCTATTGTCGTTCAGTCTGACTTTATGACAGCAGAGATCTTAAAGTGTGACATGAGAGCCATGTTCATGCAGTCTGACATGCTACAATCATTCAGGATTACAATAAAAAATATGTAACTATAATTAATTATAATAAAAAAAATAATAAAATAATAATATATAAATAATAATAATAAAAATAATAAAATTTATTCACAATTCACATTTACAAAATTTCATTCATTAAATTTAAAACCCAATGTGCGAAATCACAAGTAAAAAATCATAATAATTTTCCTAAATTAATTTACAAACTGTTTTTTCAATTTACGCATTGTGTTTTGAATTTACAAATTGGATTTGTGCCTTTACGAATTGTGTTTTGAATTGACAAATTAAATATTGTAAAATGTAAATCTTTGTGGAGTTTGCATGTTCTCCCTGTGTTCGCATAGGTTCCTCCGTGTGCTCCGGTTTCCCCAGTCCAAAGACATGTGGTATAGGTGAATTAGGCAAGCAAAATTTACTGTAGTGTTTGTGTGTGAATGAGAGTGTATGGATTTTTTCTAGTGATGCATAAAACATTTGCTGGATAAGTTGGCAGTTCATTCCGCTGTGGCGACCCAAGATTAATAAAGGGACTAGGCCGAAAAGAAAAGAATGAATGAATAAATTGTGTATGAATTTTATTTTGTAAATGCATTCGTTTTGAGACTGATCTGGCTCCATATTCTTGAAGTTAGGACAGCAACAGATTACAATTTATGAACAAGTTGTTTAGATGAAAATTAAATCAATGCATTTTAACTGTTTTGGATGCTTTCAAGTGATTTGCAAATACATGTTTTGCATTATCCTGTGAACTGTCACCGAGTTCAAGCTGATGTTTCGAAATATTTGTTTAGGCTTAGGACCGTTGATTATTTTCTTAGATTTTTGAGAAGGAACTTCCTATCTGTGTCTCATTAGATGAAGCTACTGTACCGCATACTCGCATGACAAAAATAATAAACACAAAAACCGTCAGACCTGACTTCTGTACGGTTTGTTCAGCAACCGAATGAGAAGATCCAGTAAGGAGGAGA